CAGCAGGATTATGCTTATGATGAGAGAATTAGATCTAGTCAGTCTTATTTTGAAGTAAAGGGCTCCTGATTTGACAACTGCTCTCTCCACTCCTGCATGGCAGGGTTGGGTTTGCTGGTGAGCAGCACTCTCTTTGCTCCTTTGCTTGCAGGCCTGCGGTGGTGGACAAGAAAGGAGACCTGGCTACACTCAATGAGGTAGGCTACCAGCTCCGCATCTAACCAAGCCATATGCTGGACAGAGGGCTTCTCTGGTGCTTCCTGCTGCACTTTACCTGCACTCCGTTGGAAGGAAAAAGGAATGGGACTATTTATTAACTTGTGGACTCTTATAATCAAGTTTTTACTTAGAAAAATAGAGGGGGGATTTTTTTTTTATCTGGTGGCAGTATTTATTTTCTTTCAATTAACAGAAAAGGCATCAGTGAAGGGAACCTAAATTATATTTATCAGGATATGACTATTTTTTTTCCCCTCCATCATGTAGCAGGTGACTCCAGTGGTGTGAGACTTTGTTCTAATATAACTTCCCTGTACAAGTAATTATTGAACTTGAAGCAGCCGAGCATTGTGCTGGGTAGCAGCATTGGGATAACTAAGAAATAATATTCTTAGTGTTAAGATGTGCTGGGGTGCAGTGCAGTTTAAAAAAAAAAAAGTTCAGTATTAATATTTAATTCAGCAATAAAAACAAGCAGTGCAGATGTGGCATTTTGAAAATATCAAAATTACCTCACTCAACAGATATGCAAAACCATCAGTATTACTGTTTTGTAACTAATTTGTACTGTTTCCCAGCATTTCTGGTAGTATTAAAACAGCACTGGATGTTTTACTGCCACCTGTAGTAGTACTTTGTGCATGTAGATGAAAGATGTTAAGTAATAGTAATATGCAAGTGTATTCTTAAACACTGACATTTTATTAGGCAAAATAGGTTTTTTAGATGATGATAATTGATGATTAATCATTTTTTAAACTTCCAGAATTTTTTTATACTTTTATCACAAGCTTTTAGTCTTTCTGGACTACACTGCTGAAGCACAAAACATGTTGCTGTTTTATAGAGACCAGTGTTCATGTACTAGTCAGTTTGTTTCTTGTGTACTTCCCTGGAATAATGGAAAAAATGTCAATTACTAATATGCTTTTCTTTCACCGTTCCTTTTTAACATTGAACCTTGTCTTTGAAAGGCTGAGCAGTCTCAGATGGTGATGCCTTGACATCTTATCAAGATGCCTTGACATCAGACATTGCAGGGTGAAGTTAACCTGCCGTGTTGCTTGTAGGGAGTTTTTCGAGTAACAACAGCTTAGTCTGACTTGAGTGAGGAAGCCTGTATTGGAACAACTTCAGCAATAAGTTAAATTCTATGTCTGAAATACCTGAAAATCAAGCTTGTCCCCTTCCTCCCTACTTGGTCCTTTTATTCTAAAGATTTTTGTTCTAAGACCTGTGATGGACAGCAGAGTTCTCAAGGGACACGGTAAGACTTTCATTTCGCTTTAGTGAAGTTCTCTGGAAACATTTGAGTGCTGCATTCCTGAAAATATTTCATTAGGTGCCTATATAGAAACTGGATTGTTGTACAAGTCCAGCCTCAACCCTTTGTGCTGTGCTTATAAATAATACTGCCATGGGTCTTGTGTACCTACCCTCCTGGGCACATACTTTTTTTTGGATCTTGATGAAGACAGGACCTTGTAACACAGTGACATTAACAATTACTCAAAGTTATTTGAGCTCCTAGAACACTTGAATCAGCCAGCAACTGAATGAATACAGAAGAAGATGACTGTGCACAGACCTCACAGCTTACAAAAGTCAACAAATCTCACTTACCTAGGACAGGAAGACAACAGCAAGACCCAGCAACCTTCTACAAACAGTAAAAGCTTTTCTACTCATTAGACTTCAGCAGACCTTCTGAAAGGTCTTTTCTTCTGAAAATGTATCACTGTTCTTTATACAAATAGATTGTCATATCAATTACAGGGAGGCCTTTTCTATCACTCTTTCTACAAACTCTTCGACTCCTGTGATCACAATAGAAGATTTTTTTGGTTCAGGAGTGAAATTGGAGAGGGAAACACTGTTTTGGTAGAAATTCCTGTGTAATTTGACATCAGCTGCAGAGTTTGTTTTAAACTTTGTGCTGTTCAGTGTCTTGTGACGTAAATTTTTTTCGTGTATCCCTTAGATTTCTCATGGGTGGAAAGATGTGAAAAACATACTTTGATCAGCTGTATCCTATAACACAAGGTTATTTGACATGTTGCAGTTTTTTTTTCTATGAAACTATGGTTTACTTCAGCTCAAGTGTTGCTGGTTGGTATACATTTTTTACCACTGTCCAGCACAATTTGACTTGCACTGAAACCTTTCCATGCTCTAGAGGTGTGTGACAGGTGGCTTTTGGATCTTGTTTTGAAGTTGAGCTGAAATATTCTCTTGAAACTTGCATATGATGGCATTTGTCTTAAGCGTGATTCTAGTGATTGTTTAACTTACTGCAAAGTGGTCAAATAGTGTAGAAAACATGCATGAATTTTTGTTTTTTTAATCTCTTGTATGTTTATGCACAGCATGAAACTTCAATAAATATCATGGTAGTCTTTTGGTTTTTTAATTACTAAGGGTTGTTTTTTTTGTCCTGTCCAGGTTTCTATTACAGAAAGGATTTAAGTAAAATAAAGCAAAATAAAGTAGCTTTTAAAAAAAATATAGGTATTTAACAATATTATTTATTATTCTACGAAGAAATCACTGAATATAAAGGCCTTAAATCCACCCTGTACCTAACTATTAATGAGTTCTATGGAAGAGAGTCTCTAAACACTGAAAATACATTGTTATGGAATAATAACAGCACTGATGACTACATCATGTCAAGCAGCATGTCATGCTTTTATCTTTTAGTAGTACCATGGCCCCTTCCCCATGTTAATGTCATCAAAAGTGAGGTGACAGTTTCCTCTTTTCTAAAAGAAAGCAGAACATACAGTAACACATATAATAACATGCACTAATTAAGTAAAATAAATCTTACTGCCTTAAGGGTATTATGTGGTTACCAGGGAAGTGGGTATATTTTTCAAAAGGTTATCTCTACTGCCTTGAAGAATTTGGCCATTAAAAAGATCTTGCAGCAACACACACTAATCTGAATAGAAACCCATTATGGAAACAGTTTAAACTTAAGATTCAAACCAGTATTGTAAATAACTAGGTTTTTGGGTGGGCCTAAATAAGTGCTACTCTGTGTAAAAGAGATGGGCAATGATTCAAAACCTCTGGAGATCATCTGGAGAAGATGAGGCTTTAGACAAGCCAGAAAAGTGATGCTTAAGTTAAAGCTTATTCAAAATAGCAAAACTTTCTCTCTTACCCACCTTCCTCTCTTCAGCAGCTTCTCTGCTAGCAGTGCTCTAAAGCAACACTGTCAGGATGTCACATCTCTGTCTGTGCTGGAGACAACATGCAGCCCTCCCAGCTAGCAAACCTTCTTGCTCTTAACATGGGCTACAGTGGTTGCTACAGCTGAATGATGTTTTTAGCTGTAACCAGCATCTACCAGACATCTGCTGCAGCTGGCTAAGTACATTTGCATCTATCAGCTCCAGCTTTGGGAATGTCTGATATTAAGTATCTGAATAGAGTCCAGTATTGAATAGGTAGCTATCTACAGCATTAACGTGACTGTTAACTGCAAGTAGACAAAAGCTCCTCAGTCACAATTACTTATAAGAAAAGCTTCCTTCCAAATTCAAAGCAATTTAAGTGGAATGTTTCAGGAGGTAGCAATATTTTTCCAAAAACTTTTTCAATTCAGCGGGCTTTGCAGTTACTACCATTGTGGTTCCTGCATTATTCTCAAAGCACAAAGTACAGCTGTAATTCTGCAGTCAGGAAAAGGAAACCCAGATAAAAATTCCACAAATTAGGTTGGAGAAGAACAAACAAGTCTTTGTGGAAGACAAGTGTAACTGAATGTGATTTCATGAACATGAGTGCAGGTTTTCCAGCACTACACTGAAAGACAATTCTCCAAGTGTTAATTTTTAAGCTAGTTTTATGTATATATCTATATGGAGTTTCACCAAGTTGTAAGACTTGTTTCCAGCCCTTCCATGTTTCCCATCCAGGCAGTCTTTTTAAACTTTGTAAATCATATTTTGCACACAATGTTTATCAGTGCATTCTGAGAGTAAATATAAAATCTTGATAATTTAATACTTCAGGATCTGTTGTTTCAATATGCAACTGGACATTTTCAATAACTAAATTGAAAAAAACCCCACTTCCTCCAGTTGTCCAATACATATTAAGCCACAAGATGTCAAGGACTGATCCCCCCCCTGTTGTGGATTCGTTAAGTTTCCTCTAAGTTTTCATGCTCATTAAACTTGGTTTTACTATAGATGCTTTAAGAAAGATTCTAGTGAATGCTATCTGCATTTAAGCTTTTAGAAGTTACATTTTTACCTTTTTAGAATGTATACATTTGCTTCACTGTAAAGCTGTTTTCTTCCTTTGGAAGTCCAATCTTGCAGCCTTTGAACTGACTACACTCTAGCTAACTGAGGAAATTTCTTTGCAGAAATATTTAGATAGAAGTGTCTACAGTGCAACTTTGTAGTGAAATATTACTTTCATCTTATTATGAAGCATGGCATGCACACAACCTCATTCCCTGTTACTGGAAGAAACACGCAGTTCTCAGAGAATAATCAGTTTTACTATGATTTATCATAAAAACTATTTACAGCATCTCTGTGAAAAATAATGCCATTATGACACTGGCACAGATGTTGTCTATTATCAAAGAGATAATATGAATTTTTTTTTTTTTTGCCTTAAAGACTTCATAAAGTAAACACCTTAAAAAAACACTCTCTTAAAAAAGTCTACTTTACACAACACTAACAAATCAGCAAGCATGCAAACTTATTTAAACCGAACCAGCAGTGCTTGGATTAACCTTTAAAAAAATAACAATCACATGAAGAGAGAAGGTGAAGGTAAATTTACCTACACAAAAAGTCCTTTGGATATTACCGTTCAATAAGCCTGAACTCTGCTACCAATGGCAGGTGGTCAGAAGAGTTATTTTCATTGGGAAGACCATTAACAGTCCAAAGATCTTTCTCTGTTAGAAGTGCTAGTCTGCCAAGAAGTTTCAGACCTCCATGAAAAGAATCCTCTGCTCCTGATAAAAAGTAAAAAATAAAACAATGTTAATCAGTGTGGGCTAAAAATCACACATATGCAGAAAGAAAAAACCAGTATGGCAGAAATAATGTGAAGTCATTATTTCCATCAAAATCACCAATAAGGTAGTTCCGAAATTATTCTTGTTTACTATTACTCTCACACTAGAACGTAAAACCAGTAGAGCTCCAAGTACTGTGAAAAGACACTACCCCTCCATTTTGTGGAGGGGTAAACTGAGGTAGAAAAGGGATTTATTTGTTCATGTTTCCCTTGAAAAATCCTCACACAATCCAGTCCTATAGTCTAGCACATCAGAGCTGACACTTACAAAATCAAGCATCTTTTGAGAGATGCTGGTTCACATAATGTTTTATTTCTGTGTCCTCAGGACCACAGTTCTCCAGCAGGCAAGTCATACATTAATTCTCGGCTCATGAAGATGAAAACCACCTCGCATTTCCCTTCCTAAATCTTCACCCTAAGGGATCTTTCTCTGCTATTTCCTGCTACCTATTCCTATAATTGCCTAAAACCAAACCAAAACAAACCAACTAACCAAACAAAAACTACAAAACCATCTCCCACCACACACACAAGAAACACCACATTGCTCCTGGAAAGGGGGGAAAATGACTCACAGTCTCACTATTATTACACCTTACTATTACACTATGCTTAAAATATGTGTCCTCATTAAGAAAAAGAAAAAAGAAAACTATAAGCAGCAAGGAGTAACAAGCTTTTCCCAACTCAAGTAGAGTTCCATGGAGAATGAGATCCTTCCATGATGTGTCAAACCTTTAAACTCCTTGAGCTATCTGCTTGAGTGAGATGACTACTCAGTAAGCCTAGCTACTGCTTTCAGAGCACAGCCAGGATTCTGAGCAGCCTTGAGTGCTTTCAGAACCTGCACAAATGGCAACTGTAACTTCCATACAGAAAATATGTCAAAGTGATCAGCAATTTCCGAACCTCCTGGCTGAACCTGGTCCTGGTTTATGTTTAGGGTATTTTGAAGGATTATCCAGCAACTTAAACTCCTGGGGTTGTTCTAACACCTTCACTCCTTTGCCATCTGCCAGCTTTCCAGTTCTCTAGCAATCCAGCAGCTGTTTACTGCTGCTCTGAAGGAAAACTTTTTTTAGTGCAAAAATGTCTCAGCTCTAGAGCATAGGTCCACCCAGCTTTTTAGCCAAATGTGTCATTTGGCACAGCACCTTCGTGTCTACAAAGGAGCAGTTTGTTGCTACAGGGAGCTTGGTCTGCATGCAGTGATTAAAGGCAGCTCAGAGCGCTCTGGAACCGGCAAATCTGACTCCTACAGATACTGAACCCTGCTTTCACAGCAAATCCTGAATACCAAACCAAATACTTGGCTAAGCATGACACAGACTGAAGAATGAAAACCTTAAACAACTGAAAAACTTTAAATGGAAAAAATGCTATCAGTCAGCTTAGACCACATTCAATACTCACTCGTTTGGACTTTGACCATTCCTAATACAGAGGTCCAGGTCATCAGAAAACTGAAAACCCAGACAACTGCTTAGTTTCTAAGAACTAATGAATAAAAGCTTCATCAGCTTAGACTACTTGCAGAATTCAAGTCTGGCCCCATTTTGTACTCTGATGTGGGGTGAAGAATCTACTTGAAAAACAACTGCAGAAAGAAAGAAGTGCTATAGGTCTGCTGGGGCAATGGTGGTGCAACAAAATACATAAGCAGGTGATTTAGGATTAAATTTTGCACAGGGATATACTCTGAAATCACATGCAACACTGTTGCATCACAATGCATTCAGAAGTCATTTACAGTTCTTATATCTTAAGTTTTTTAGTGAAAGCTTTCATTTCTGTATTGTGAAGCTTTTGTATTTGATACTTTACATTAAAAAAGCATTTACCCTGCATGTTATGACAAATGAGACTTCTGTGCATTGACTCACTGAATTTTAACAATCTAGTCTTTTGAGTATAAGCGGTGAATATGAGAGATGAAGGTGGTATTTTCACTTATAAAAATCAGTTGCAGTCTACAGTAGGAGCAGGAGTAGAATCCAGATTTCTGTGCTCAGAGTTCTGCAGAGCCATTTATCTGATAGCACCACACTGTGCAAACATGGAATGTGCACTGCTCAGAAGTACCCATGGTGAGAGCACAAATGCAGTGGAGAGCCTGTGTTACCCACCAAGAAAAACACCCACAGAGGTACCATGTCTTTCTCGCACCATCTGCTGAGTTTTAGCTGCAATTGCAATCAAGAGAGTCACAAGTGGGCGTGTGCAAGTGACTGCTCTCAGAGCAAAGGCCCCGGAGGTCATTTACTTGATAGATATTACAACAAGACTATCTGAAAAGTAACTTTCTTAGATACAGTTCATTTACCAGTTTTAGTACACACCGAAAATTGCCAATCACCGTTTTGTTGCTGTTTGGAAATACAGCTTTGTTGTAGGTCCCACATGCATGAGGACCAGCAGTGTTCTCTTTACAGAGCTCCTTTTATGTAGCCTCAGCTCTAGTCTCCATGCTGAGATGGCAACTACAGGAATGTTCAGCGAGGTAAAAAGTTTGCCCTGTGTGTGGCACTACAAGTCGAACTGTGGTAAGTCAACAAGACCAGCCCCATTTCTCAGATAAGAGCTGACATTAAAAGCACCACCACAAGCCTCTGTGGTACTTCATTCAGATTAAACTCTCAGAACACTTCCCTTAGAACAGTATCTGAATGTTTCTGTTCTGTATTTGTGACAAATAACTGAAAGTTGGTTTATTTACCTGGCGTGGGAGCCGTGTCATCATTTGCTGCAGAATAGAAAATATAATCCACAGTGACAGCACTTCGGGAGTGACAAGTTGTTACTTCTGGGATCCCAGTTTCAGGAAAGTAATGAGAATAGACTGAAGACAATTTAAAATGGTGCTGCAATTTTGAAGACAACCTAACAGGAATCAAAGAAAATAATTCTTATTTTCTCATCTTTCCTAGAATAAGCAATGAAGAAATGACAAATAGTTTCTGGTTACAAACCAAATTAATTACCTAGATATGCAAACTAGCTTTTCTCTCATGCAATTAATCCCATAGTCTTTTGTGTTAGTGGCCTAAACCTCTGCAGGTAAAATGCAGGCAGATTTCTCAAGTAAGAGGCAGATCCCTAAGAGCCTATCAAAACCGGCTTAACCGACACTTTAATTACACGTAGCTTTCACCTCCATTTACACCTTGTATCCTCTCCAGCAACCTCTCCCTTACACATGTAGAAGTGACCACAACAGCAGCTTATGTGAAAGCAATGAACTATGAACTCATCTAACCAGTCCCTTCAGCAAACAGCAAAATTAAAAGTTGTTTTGTTTTTTTTTTTTCCTCTCCCCTAAACTAACATTATCCAGTGTTTTCAAGTTAGGCTAATCATCATTCCTCCACTTAGGCTCCCATTTTATTTCTCCTCATCATCTGTCAGTCTGTCCTCCTCAGTTCAGCCCATCTCATCTCACCTGTTTAGTCAATCTTGAAAGTAAGCCACAGAACTGCAGCTTTCAGCAGAAAAACTGCTCTCTCCTTTCCAGCCACTTGCTCCCCTCAGCTCTGCAAATCATCCATCCCTCAGCTGTACCTGCCTCACCTTGCACAGTTGCATTGGTAAAAACCAAGCAATTATCCAGTGTTTTCAAGTTAGGCTAATCATCATTCCTCCACTTAGGCTCCCATTTTATTTCTCCTCATCATCTGTCAGTCTGTCCTCCTCAGTTCAGCCCATCTCATCTCACCTGTTTAGTCAATCTTGAAAGTAAGCCACAGAACTGCAGCTTTCAGCAGAAAAACTGCTCTCTCCTTTCCAGCCACTTGCTCCCCTCAGCTCTGCAAATCATCCATCCCTCAGCTGTACCTGCCTCACCTTGCACAGTTGCATTGGTAAAAACCAAGCAATTAGAAAAAAAATAGATCAGCATGTTCACCTGACTGACTTAGACAAGACTGACAAACATGCCAGTTTACAACCAGATGGGTAGTAATTTCTGCTCTTGATACATGACAATTTTTAAGAAGAGGTTAAGTAACCCTGAACAGGCATGTGGCTTGCTATGGATCTACACTTTAGAATAAGGCTTTCTGTCTGCTTATCAACTTCTTTTCCCAGAAATGCCATTACTTAGATTTTTTTATCACTAAGAATCACCAAATGTTTAAATCTAACTGCCTGCAGTGATATGAAAATCTCATTCCTGAGAAGAAATAGCTGACTTGAAGCCTAACATCACACATTGACAGCTAAGGCAATTATCCCTTTTCTATGTGTTCCTTCATATGCATTTATCAGTTTGGTAAATGCAAATATATTTTTTCCTTTTTTAAAAAAAAGTTACATTTTCCTTTACAGCAATTTAGTGGTGGTTTCCTCCTTCAGTTTACCAAGCGTTTTGATCTGAATAAGTGTTGCACTACCAAATCCATAATACTCCAAGTTTCTGGGACTCAAATTCTCCCACAGAACTCTTGACGAGCAAGACTTTATTATCTTAGTTTCTTTCCCTCCTTTATCCCAATTTTATGTAATATTATAGGATTTTATTAGCATCCATATTCCAGTATCTCAAAAACAGTAAAGAGAAAAGTGCCAACACTTCAAGCAGCTGGATTATGCAGTTTTTGTTGATTCCCCCTCCCTCTTAAAAACATTGTTTCTATATCTGGACTGAAGTTCAGTTTTCCTACGATGTCACTGCACAGCTGAATGTTGTGTTTATGTCAGTAAGTGACAAAAATGTCAAAAGCATTCTTTTAATAAGCAAAGTACCCTCTAAACAGCACTGACACCTTGTCTCTGCATTCTGAAATCATATCTCCAAGTTCCTGCAAGCACACACACACACGCTACTTCATTATTTCCAATTCTAGTCTTTTGCTGTCTGATCAGCCTTTTAATATTTAAATGGAATATGACTTTTTTGAATCACAGAATCTTAGGAGTTGGAAGGGACCTCAAAAGATCATCTAGTCCAACCCCCCTGTCAGAGCAGGATCCCCTAGAGCATATCACACAGGAACTTGTCCAGGCGGGTTTTGAATGTCTCTAGCAAAGGAGACTCCACAGCCTCTCTGGGCAGCCTGTTCCAGTGCTCTGTCACTCTCACAGTAACGAAGTTTTTTCTGATGTTTATGTGGAACCTCTTATGTTCCAGTTTGCACCCACTGCCCCTTGTCCTATAAGTGGACATCACTGAAAAAAGCCTGGCTCCATCCTCCTGACATTTGCCCTTAATGTATTTGTAAACACGGATGAGGTCGCCTCTCAGTCTCCTCTTCTCCAAGCTACCCTCAGTCTTTCCTCCTAAGGGAGATGTTCCACTCCCTTAATCATCTTCGTAGCTCTGCGCTGGACTCTTTCAAGCAGTTCCCTGTCCTTCTTGAACTGAGGGGCCCAGAACTGGACACAATACTCCAGATGTGGCCTCACCAAGGCAGAATAGAGGGGGAGGAGAACCTCCCTTGACCTACTTAGCCACACCCTTTCTAATACACCCCAGGATGCCATTGGCCTTCTTGGCTACAAGGGCACATTGCTGGCTCATGGTCATGGCTCATTTTGCCAGATGGACAGACTGGGTTGGGTGAGAATCTTGTATCCACATCTGAAATCAAATGCAAGTTTGATCTAAAAACAAAACAAACCCTCAACACTGGGAACCCGTTAAGAGCTTTCAAATATTTTTTCTCCCAACACATACTTTTCAGATGTTGTTACTATCTCCTGAGTGTTGTCCTGTATTGCTTCTTCCAATTTTTCTTCTGCAAAATAAAAATACAGTCAATTTACATTAAAAATAGGGGGTAGGCAGGATTAATATTGAAAAGCTACAGAAAAGCTACAGAAAACAATATCCTTAAATACACTTTTTTTTTGCTGCAGGCATGATACAATTCACAAAGCTGGATTAAAATATTCTATTCCAATAGTAAGATCCCCTCCAAGAACTGTTACAAATTATGTCCCATTCCTTTAAAATTGTTTTTTTTTTTTCTGTCAAAGAAAAAATGGATGAAAGATGTAATTACATGCTGAAAGGAATCACTTGCTTTTCCCCCTTGCTCTTACACCTTGCACCATTATACATAAACACTGAAGCAGAATGTAGGTTCACACTACATACTTGTGTGTGTTCCTCCATATCCCTCTTCCCAGTTACAGCACAACTGGCTTTCATGACACAAACACAGTAGTTTAAATATTATGCACCAGCTCCTGAATGGCAATTTCTACTATTATCTTCTAAAGGTTCAAATTTGTAAATGCTTATGTGAACAAAAAACTTTACACTGAGCCCAACAAAAAGGTTTTGCAAGCTCAAGACTCACTGTTTTCTCCCCCCACTAGAACAGATAATCTGTTTTTCAGTGCTACTTGAATGCTATTTTTAAAGGATCACAAAACTCAATCTAGAAACTGACCTGGATTTTCTTCTTTTTGTTGCTGTTTTATTTCATATACACAGTTTTGCGAAATACCCAATTTTTTTGGCCAAATTGGAATAGGTAGAATTCTTTGTCCCCTTGGAAACTGCTCTTGTCCAGAGACCTAAGAAAGACAACATGAACTTTTTTCAAATGTAAATCTGAATTAAAAAGAGAAAAAAAATTAAAAGAGGATGTTTTTGGGTGAAGTTTAAAGTTTTTATCAAACAAACCAAATCCCAGCCCCCTAGAATAAGTCTTTTATAATGGCTTGTCAAATCTTTGTAAAAAGGAGTAACCTCTCATGTATACCACCTTTGTTTACATTTAAGTTTTTTGCAGCTACCCAGGTTTTCAATACAGTTCTTGTGACACTAAGCTGAGACTACTAAGACTACCAAGAACACTTAGCAACGTAACAGGACTGTGTATATACAGCTCCTTAGCTGACAGTTACTTTAACTCCATGATAGTTTTTCTTCTGGGAGCAAGTAAAGTCAAAGTAGGCCTCAAAAAAACTACACACTAGCAACAAACACCAGTGGGCCTATTTTTCATGTTTTCCCCTTGTATGTACTCCAGTTACTTTCTATCAAATAGCATTTTACACATCCAACAGCTACAGACATGAGCTTACAACAAAAAAACACTATCAAACCTGAAACAGTTTTGGTTCAGCATCTAATGGCACTTTTGCTTTTACAATTATTCTAGCCACTGTAACTCAAAGTTTAGCTAAATAAGCATCCTCTTTCCAGAGAGTACACAGTATGTATTCAATTAAGTAGTTGTTTTATCCTACTTAAAGACTGGGACACTTAAACACAGTAATGCAATCATCCTCTGGATAACTACCTTTCAAGCACAAAAAATTCATTTGCAAGTGTTTAATTTCATAATGCCAGAAGCAAATTCAATCATCTGTAAGGCACAGCTAATATACCCAAGCAGGTTTTAGTAACTCCATAGTAACTCTTCCTTTTCAGACTGTGTAAAGGACACCAAGACTGGTACCATAATGGAAATAATCCCAAGCCCAGCTACAGCATGCTAGCACTACTCAAATATTTCTCTTTAATCAGTTTTAACTTTTTTTTTTTTTTTTTTTTTTGTGGGAAGTCACAGTACAGCCTACCTTTCCGATAGCAAGTCCTTCGTAATTTAACTTTCCTTCCTTTATGAATTTGTACAGTGGAGAACCAGGAACAGAATTGAAGTCACCACAGATGATAATTGGGCAGAAGGTGCCATCCTTTTGAGGGGCAACACTTGCAATCTCTGCCAGGAGCATTGCAAGTTGGGTCAGTTTGATGTCACCTCGCCTCGGGTTATACAGAAGATGTGTGTTGGCTATACAGATGGCAGCATTAGTTTTGCAGTGAAATCTAGGCTGCAGAAGCAACACCAGTCCAACGTTGTCCCTATCCAAAAGTGGAATATCATGACGAAAAAATTCCACGGGGTTTGAGGAGATCAGGCTAAATTTGGAAGTTTTGAAGCAAATAGCGCAGCCATCAGGTTTTCTCCCTGTCCTCATTTTATACTCACAGTGATACCCTGCAAAAAAGGCAATAAAAATATAAAATACCATTGTATAAATAGATTTGTTTTTCTAAAAAAAATTAGAAAAGCCTCATGCTACTTTTCTCACGTGGCAGCCAACACCCAGGCTGAAGTACCAAAGACTTTTGTGTACAATTCACACAGAAAAGTGAACACAAAGAACTTTGTCCTGCCTAGATTCAGTTTAGATGCTAAATGAAAAAAGGCCTAGTACTTTTTGTGGTGCATATGCATACATATAGTCTAATACAGCAAGCATGGTTTTCTCTCCTAATGTGTAAAAAAAACTCAAACCAAAACAACAAAAAAGACCCCACAACACAAATGAAAGTGGACTTATGTATTGACATTTTTTCCGGGTATCACCATAATTGTTCAGGAATAATATCAGTGAAGTATTCAAATCAAAAGCAATAATCACTGCAAGTTACAAATCAGTCCAAAATGATTCACAGGGCAAAGGTCTCCAACATATTTACAAAATTATGTAATTATGCAGTTAGCAGCAAGAGGAAAGCTGTCAACACTTGATGAATTTGTAAAAGGAGGCACATAACATTGTTGCCTGTGATGGCAGGAGGCTTAATTTTATAATCTAAGATTTTTTTTGAGGAAAGCGGTACTAGGGGAGAAGACAATGTATTGGTTATACAGGTTTCATCATACCTAAGGATTCCAAACTTGACTTGATCTCTGTTCTATAGTGGTCTGCTTGGACTTCTTGCAAACAGAGTACCTAAGGCAAAAGTTAACCATTAGAAAGATATTAGTAAGTACATCAAAAGATTGTATCATATCTCTGTTGGCCAGTCTATATAGGTATTAAAATCGCCACCATAATCACACAAAATGATTCACTCTCCTATAGAAAATGCTCCTGAAAATTGTGAAGAAGGCTCCAATTCCTCCCACGCTCTCAGACAAACATACATTTTCAGATGTAAAATTAATTGAAATAGTGACCTGCTAATACATTCTCAGCAGTGTAGCAAAGGGCCAAATAACAGAGCAGTAGATAAAGAGGCCAAGGGCACAGTCTTCATTAACTACAGTGTGGACAAGTTTCCATATTGTGATGAACTGAACCAAAGATCAACCTCAAAATACTCCATTAAAAGAGAGTTCTCAGCACCTTGGAGTGCACTCTGCAGTAACACACGGATTTACAAATTTACCCAGCTGACACTAGCTCGCTCAAGGTCTAAACGGCGAACAAAAATTCAAGCAATATTCTGAAATTTTGGCTTCACTTTAAGGTTACAGTTAAAAAAACCCGAATGAGTTAAAAGTCTATATTCTTTAGGAAGAACTTCCTCTGCACCAAGGGTACCAGTATGTACAAGGGTCTGTCTGTAAGCAGCTGCCTGTGATGACTCAATGTGTGCAGCAGAAGGCATCACCTCTTTACTCCAGCGCTGAGTTGTGTGTCCCTGCAGAGCTCAGCAAGAACCCCACACTGAACTGCTACTTGACAGAGGGGCTGGCTTTGGTTCCAGCCCTTCCATGTGAGAGAACTATGTGTAACCACTAATAGCACCAGGCAGATCCTCAGAGTTCCTCTGCCCAATGTCTCTCCCAGAAAACCCACTAATGTATCTCACTGTAAAGATCACATACACACAGTATGTATTCATTTATGAGGGAAAGCCTGAATGGGACTTTAATCTCCAGCTTCCTTGCTATGTATTAATATAATTGCACTTCTCAAATGGCAGTTTTTCTGTGGCTTCCCTAATACAACTACTTTGATTTTTTGGATACTGTTGTCTGACATGAACAGGTTGGAAACTATCACCAACCTTTTATTGGCCTGAACAATTATTGAAGCAAAAAGTTTACCAACTTGACTTCCTGATGAAGATTTAACAGAAGTGGTTAAGTGTCCTTAAAACCAAACAAAAAAAACCCCCACAATACAACAAAAACAGGTAGAGCCCTACAACGTAAGTTATTTTTTCAGACCCAAACATAAGAAGTAGTCCCAAGTTAGGTCTCAGTAGAGAACACCAGCATGATTGTTCACAAGTCAAATGGTGCAGAGTACCACATAAAGAGAGAAATGAACACCTGAGAGAACTACAGGTGGACCAGGCTCATGTGGAGACTATTAACAGTTGCATCATTCTCTCAACCTTGCACATTAATCTCAAGAAAACAGAGATCCACGCAGCAGACTCATCACCCAAGGCCTCAAACAATCAAAGTAAAATATTTGAGCTTGCCTATTTTTCTTCCACAAAAGGGTGGCATGCAAGATTTAGTGTTTGCGAATAATGACCAATTATCCAATCTTGCATGTTCTTTGCACTAAATACCCTATGGCACAATTGAAGCAAGAGCCTCCAGCTCTGGAGCTTCCTAAACTGTACAGTCCCAGAAGCTGAGTCTATCCTGGAGAAAGGTGTCCTACCCTAAGCATCTATCATTTCTTACTGTTACAGACATGACACTAGACTAGGTGGACCTCTGACCTAAGCAAGTATAGCTGTTCTTACTCTAAGGCTCCAGGAAGACCTCTGAGCACCTTCCAGTACCTGAAGGGGCCACAGGAATGCTGGAGAGGGACTTTTTACAAGGGCCTGTGGTGATAGGACAAGAGAGAAAGGTTTTAAGCTGAAAGAACAGAGATTTAGAGTAGACCTTAGGAATAAATTCTTTCCTGTGAGAGTGACGAGACACCAGCATGACACTGGCACAGGTTGTCCCGGGAAGCGGTGGATGTCCCCTCCCTGGAAGTGTTCAAGACCAGTTTGGATGGGGCTTGGAGCAACCCGGTCAACTGAGAGGTGTCCCTGCCCATGGCAGGAGGATTGGAACTAGAAGATCTTTGAGGTCCCTTCTAACCCAAACCAGTCTGTGATTCTGTTTTACAGGACTCTACTCAAGTATGCTCTAGACATAGACTGCAAAAAGATTTACATAAAGAAAGGTTTTGGAATTAGGGGGAAAAAAAAAGTAGTGTGTCAGCAGAACATCAAAGTCACATTAAAAAGACCATTCTGGGAAGTTATGGACAAAAAAAGGCAATTATGAGTGAAAGGTAATGCAAAGTTGTTGCATTTGCTGTAAATTCACGCTACACAGAATACACTAAGTGCATAAGCATAAATCAAAACTACTGTTAAGCAGGACATAACAAAAAGCTCAGCTGGATTCACTAGAGAGCCCACCTATCAAAATAAAGGACAGCGATAATTTACTACTCCAGTTTATCAATTCTTAAGAAATAACCACATACTTATTTCTACTCACATCTGCATCCAGCTGTTTGATCTCTTGTAGGATGTTGGGAAATCTGTAGGTCCAAATTAACAAGCGTTGCCTGCAGTGTTTGTACAGATGGGAGTTACCTTCTAACAAACTCTGTGACAGGATATTGTAGGACATGACTGTAAAATCAAAATTTCCCTCACTTTCTGTACTGCTTTGGTCAGTTTCTTTATTTTCAGAGATTTTCATTGTTTTACTGTGCTGACAGAAATATTCCCAGTGTCTTTTGACGGTTCCTGGTAAAAGCACACAAAGCAGAAAAATTATGTAAGATACCATATGACTTCTTATTCCTTAAGCAATGCTAAAGGCTTACTTGATTAGTGGTGATTAAGACTCTGTTTAACATGAACTTTATATAAGAATCAAAAAGACCAAACCCCAAACAACCCCAAAACTAAACAAAAACTACAGTACAGAACCATTAAATGCCCTGGATTACAAACTGCTTAGAAATGAGGAAATGGGAATGTTGTAAGCAAATCACTGCAGTCAGACTATACTACCCTACCCCCTGCAGAAAGGCTGTTGGGCTGGTAAGCCAAATGTAGTCTGTCAACATAGTCTTATGCTGCCTTCCTTCTGCCACTGCCTCCTCAGTGGAGATGGAGTATGTTAGTCTGCGATACACCCTTCACAGCAGCATGTGGGCATCTTGCTGATCCCTCTACCCATGACTAACAAAGGGTTAGGAATGAAGATTCACCACTAGACTGTACACAGTCTGACAAACTCAGCCATAAGCTTCTACAGGGTCTATTACAAGGGTCCCAAAACAGATTGTGAACCTAATTTCCCTCAGTGAGGTTAATAAATTAAAAAATTAGTAAGCTTTGGAATTACCAAGAACTTCTGAAAAGGCTTGCTTTGCCTTTCTGCTATTCCTAGTTTTATTACTAGCAGCACTATATGAAAGTTTGGAAGAACATATATGCCCTTCACTAAGTGTCCAATTATTTTTCAGATATGTATTTCTCCACTTAAAAATTCACAAACAGAGATGCTTTTCAGCCTCTATGTCCCAACTCAACTGGACCTTGGCATGATTTCAGATATTTGTGCCATCAACCACTGGCCAACTGCAGCTGCAGCTGTTAGTATCTGCCCTATCTGGATAGTGCTTACATTATGCAGGACTTTATCTAGTATTTGCAATGAATACGGCAAGGCTTTAACTACTGTTTCTATAGTGGGAGAAAGGTCACATTGCTCCTCAGCAGGTATCTCTAATTACTGTCACCTTACAATATGTGAACAAAGGATAACTGGGAAGGATCACAATCCTAGCCATACTCTCAGATAAAGGCATGTCATGTAAGAGAAGATTCAATAATAAAGGCACAAAGCACACTCCCTTCTTTCACTTTCTGAAGATGGCTATGACGTTTCCACACCTTACAGATAATTGTGTCCAAAAATCCCTCTGGGATGTTGATGGCATCTGTTGCCCTTTTAAGTCATATACGACTTTCAGTAAATTTTGTTAAGGAAGCAATTTACTTGAACAGGAACCAATGCTGACTGTGCCCCTCTGTTTCACAGTAGACAAAACTGTAAATATCCACAATACTCAGTAAAACATTTGGATGCTATGTAGAACATTCTATCTGTAATAAGCTAACTCAGACACTTAGATGAAAGTCTACCACACTGAGTGGGGCAGACATCTTTGCACTTCTTACTGTATTTATCTGGACAAGTGCATTGGCTGTTTGCTCTGCCAGTCACATTGTGACACAAAAACTTGTTAACATGCCACTGGCTGAACACAGCTGTGAAAACAAAACTGCACAATCACACTGGATGCAAATGCCATTAACCTTCAGTCCATCAGTTCACCATTATCTAGGTCACAGATAACTGGCTCCGAGAGAAGCCAGTCCTGGTCCGGCAGGGCTTATGAGCTCAGGTATAGTACAAAGAATGGAGCCAGTCCAGCTCAGCCCCACAGCAAGATATCTAAATCTTTTTGCTTTAAGGGAGTTACCAAGTTAACAGATCTGATCTGGCAACAGTGTCTGGACCAAGCTCAGGATTTCTCAGCTGGGTACTTCCTCCCATAACTGACTGTGTTCTACCACCAAGCGCAATGAACCTAGTTCTAGCTGATTGTTTGACAGCACAAAATACAAGTTTACAGACTAAGCAGCATTACAAAGGTGTAATATTTTTAAGACAGATGTTTTTTTCAGAGAGGCAACAAGACAAACAATAACTCAAAAAATGCAGGTGTTCAGTACTAATAAACAAAGAAAATTAGCAAAGAGGAACTTTTACGTTTCTTGCTGCTATGTTTTTCTTCATTCTGTGCTGCAGAAACACACAATGCTTCCTTCTGATTAGAGAAGCTTGCTTCGTCTTCAGGAGTTAAAGCATCATGCTGGTCACTGAGTCTTCTCTTCTTTGTCAGTGGTTCTTCTCCCTCAGATTTCATACTGGGATTAGGTAGGTGAAAGCAAGAACTTTGCATGAAGTTATCAAGCTGCCAGTTGGAGTTCTGAAAACATCTCCAAGGTCCAAAAAATGGAGGGAGTCTCCAGTTTGTTGAGAAATCAGTTGAAACAGGAAGTGGAAATGAGGCCCAGGGATAGTGTCCAGCCCATCTCATACAGCTGGAAACTGGGCTGTTCCAGGTGAGTATCTGAGAACCATTCCAGTGGGCAATCCAGTCTCTGCCCAGCCTCTGCACATGACGGGGAAGCATGGAGTGTCTACCAAAGAAAGTACAGGTTTCATTACTTACACACAATTACATCCACCTGCAGAAGACTGCAGATGCAAGTCATCCTGCTCCTAACTTATGTATGGTATTCTTTCTCTATAGAAGATATTCTTTCTCTAGTAAGATATTGAACCTCTTTAGATACATACAGGATTTTAAAAACTTTATCTAAATTATATGGAAAGGGGGACTTTACAACACCATCTTGTACCTTCAGATTTACAAATGCCATTTATTTTCCAAACTCTACCCATTTGAATAACTATTTACAATTTATTTTCTGCCTTGTTGAATTCAACCATCAGATCTTTCAAGTGCTCAGTGGAATGACCTTTACAAGATGTCATTTTTGTATGCTGCATTAACTTTGTAATAAGGCTATTTGAAAGGAATTAGAAAGCCACTTTCACAGAATCACAGAATTGTCAGAGGTGGAAGGGACCTCTAGAGATCATCTAGTCCAACTGCCCTGTTAAGCAGGATCCCCTAGAGCACATCACTCGGGACTGCATCCAGGCAGGTCTTTAATATCTCCAGAGAAGGGGACTCTACCACCTCCCTGGGCAGCCTGTCCCAGTGCTCTCTCATCATCACCATAATGAAGTTTTTCCTCATATTTCAATAGAACTTCCTATGTTGCAGCTTGTGCCTATTGGCCCTACTGAACTGAACTACTGAAAAGAGTCTGGCTCCATCCTCCTTGCACCCACCCTTGAGATACTTGTAGGCATAAATATGGTCTCCCCTCAGCCTTCTCTTCTGCAGGCTAAAGAGTCCCAGCTCTCTCAGCCTTTCCTCATAAGGGAGATGCTCCAACCCCCCAGTCATCTTTGTTGCCCTCCTCTTGAACTGAGGAGCTCAAAACTGGATGCAGTATCCCAGATGTGCCTCACCAGGGCAGAGCAGAGGGGGAGAATGACTTCCCTGGACCTACTGGCCACACTCTTCCTTATGCATCCCAGGATTCCATCTGCCTTCCTGGCCACAAGGGCACATTGCTGGCTCATGGGTAAGTTATTATGTACCAGGACTCCCAGATCCTTCTCCTCAGAACTGCTTTCCAGCAGGTTCACCCCTAACCTATACTGGTGCATGGGGTTCTTCCTCCCCAGGTGCAGGACCCTACACTTGTCCCTGTTGAACCTCATTAGGTTTTTCTCTGCCCAGGTCATGCTGAATGGCAGCACAGCCCTCTGAAGTGTCAGCCACCCCTCCCAGTTTGGTACAATCAGTGAACTTCTTAAGAATACACTCTGTCTGTCCCCTCGTCCAGGTCATTGATGAATATGTTGAACAAGACCAGACTGAGCATTGACCCCTAGGGGACACCACTGGTTAGAGGCCTCCAACTCGACTCTGCCCCATTAATCACAACCCTCTGAGTTCTGTCACACAGCCAGCTCTCAATCCACGTCACTGTCCACTCATCTAGCCCACACTGCCTGAGTTTCCTAATGAGCATTTTATGGGAGACAGTGTCAAAAGCTTTGCTGAAGTCAAGACAAAGAGCATCCACTGTCCTCCCCTCATCCAGCCAGACAGTTACACCACCATAGAACACAATCAGATTGGTCAAGCATGTCCCCTTGGTGAATCTATGCTGACTTCTCCTAATGACTTTCTTTGCTTTAACATGTTTTGAGAGGATGTCCAGAACAATTTGTTCCAACACCTTCCCAGGGACAGAGGTGAGACTAACCAGCCTGTAGAACCCTGGGTCTTCCTTCTTGCTCTTTTTGAAGACTGGAGTGACATTTGCCCTCCTCCAGTCCTCAGGCACCTCCGCTGTTCTTCATGCTCTCTCTAAGATGATGAAGAGTGGCCTAGCAATAATATCTCACAGCTCTCTCAGGACTCGTGGATGCATCCCATCATGGCCCATGGATGTATGGATTATGGATTTCCTTCAAGCGGTCAGAAATTTGTTTAAAAAGCCATTGACTTGGCTCAAGCCACAACGCCAACGAGAGGGGGAAACTGAGGTACTAAGTGTCACGTCATCTCTGGCACCAGCTTATAGCGGAAATTTGTATTCTCATTGGTTTTCCAGGTGGGAAAACTGCAGCTTAGTGATTAAAGCCAGGAAAATAAGGTGATCGTTCTCTTTTTTCCAGACAAAAAAAAAATAAAATACATTTGAGTCTTAACAAAGAAACACAAGAAAAAAAATCAAACAACAAACCAACCACCACAAGACAGGAAGGAAAGCCAAGTGACATCAATCTGTCTCAGGTTCCTCACTGTTTCAATAAGAAGGTGTACTGTAAGCTTACAAGCAAAAGACCCCAGAGCTTGCTAAGCCTGAAGTGGCACCCGAGTGAGAACCTCCTGGCTGCCCGTTCAGCCC